TTCCTTCCTTCCTTCCCTCCCTCCCTTCCTCCCTCCCTCCCTCCCTTCCTCTCTCCCTCCCTCAGGTGGGATCAGGAGGCTGATCCCATAATTAGAAAATCAAAAAAGCAATTGTTCCCAGTCAGCTCCGGCATCAATGGGCATGTAAGACAGCCTGCTGGTCTCACCACGGAGACTGCTTTCTGTTCTGAGCCTTCCATTTACAGGCTCTATGAACACCACTCTGCCATCACGCCTTTTACTACATACAACATTCTTTCTGGAGACCAGGGATTAAGGAGTCACAATGCCCTGGTGGCAGAGCCAGGGCAGCAGCCCCTCCATCTCTCATCCCATTCACAGAGATAAGCTGGGCTCATCTCTTACCGGCACTTCTACTCCATTCTTGCCAGCCAGCAGCCACTCCCAGCAGGCCAGTGCAGTCTCCATGCCATGCTCATTGAACATCCGGAGAGGACCCCAACACAGGTGATGGAGCAGCTGCGGGTCACAATCTAGAACCAAACACAAGTTAGTCAAAGGCCCTGATTCTGGCTTCCCTAGGCTGATGTGACAGCCAGCACTAGCTGGGCTAACAGTGCCTTTTATTTACCGCTGGCTCATGAGAGATGAGACAGAGCTCCAGCTCTTTGACCATTCACTTAGAAATGAACCAAGAACCCCATGAGGTTCTGTGCATTACCTTTGCTGCTAATGAGCATTGCAGTCAGCTTGAACATGGCCTGTGTATAGTGATGAGGATTACTGTGGTCCAAAGCTGTAATCAGATCCTGGACCATCATTTTGTTCAGGTCAGACATTTGGCCTGTGGCACCCGAGAACCGAATCATTCCATGTACCTGTGAAGAAGTATACTTACTAGCAGCTGTGCCAGTAAGCCAGCCCTGGCTACCAGCTGACCAAGCTCACAACGGTACTGCCCTGTGATTCACTGTCCCAACTACAGCTCATTTCAATGATGCTGTAATTGAGCATCTTCTCTAGAAATGTAAGTTGGTGTTTTCATCACCTCTGTTCCTTGAAGGTGGTGACATGGACTGGTCCTAAGCCTGGACAGGGCATGTGAACATAAGCTAGATAAACCAACTTCTTTAGAGTCAATGTGACTCAAACAACACCACCAGCTGCACTATTTTTTCATACATATTTTTTCCCCAGAAAGTGTTCCTTTATTACTCATATACCTGGCTATATAGGAGATAGGACTTATTCCAAAAAATAAATCTCTGCCCTAAAGACAAATTTCCTGCTGCCACAACAGCATTCAAAAGGCCATGGAATAAGCTCTCTCAGCAATTCCCAGCATGTGGTTAGCACATGCTGAGTACGCCACAGGACTCTGCCAAGGCTCACTGGAGAAGAACAGCCATTGAATTAAGCAAGAAGCAGAATATTCAGGGGAGGTGAGCCAACTCTCAGAGAGCACTCTGATAAACCTTGTGAGATGCCCATCTCCTTGTCAGTGTTAGCCTCGAACAACTCTGGTGTGAGTGGAAGCCCTCTGTGGAGCCAGCAGATGTAGTTCCTGAGCCTACTTTTGGCAAGCTATGTAATCTCAGGAGTCTCTGTTTCGTTGCCTGTAAGGCTAGGATATTGGTACATACACTTTAGCACATGTCATGGAGACACCAGCACAGGTTTGCTACCACTTAGCAGAATGCCTTGGCATGCCTGAGTGTGCCCACGTGATACCACTTTCTTGCAGAGGTGCTAAGTAAGTGTCATAAATGCACTAGAATGTGCCACTGATTTTGCTTGTTTCCAGGCTCCTCAAGTCACCTGAAATGAGTAAATCCTATCATCCAGATCCCTCATTCATGTTCTACTGTGAAATAGTCACATGGCATAAATCAAGATGCTCAGAACAGCCTCTGACATAAGGGCAAGAGAAATACCTCGCCTGCATAGCGGTTACGCAGATTCAAGGATGCCATGAAGTTGGAGTAATCTTTCTTCACACAGGCTGGCCGTTCAGTTAGCTGAGTTGCCTACCAGACAAGTAGAGAGAATTATTTTAGATGGCGAAACATCATCTTTTTATTATGTTTAACTTGGTAAACCAGGTAAGAAGTTGAGTTCTGAGGCAAAGACTATTAAGTTTTCAGTGCTGGCAAGCTAATGTAGCACAACATTACAGAGCAAAGTCCTGGCTGTCCTTGAACTCACTCCGTAGACCAGGCTGGCCTTGAACTCACAGAGATCTGCCTGCCTCTGCCTTCCCAGTGCTGGGATTAAAGGTATGTACCACCCACAGCTCGGTTTCTAAATTAATCTTAAACAAACAAAACGAAGCTGGGGGGCACATGTGTATTTGAGCACCTGCAGGAAAGAGACTCACAAGCAAGTCCAGAGAATGGTTCAGACAAGCAGTTCTCAACCTGTGGGTCATGACCCCTTTAAGGTCCACATACCATATATCCTATGTATCAGACATTTACATTATGATTCATAATAGTAGCAAAATTACAGTTATGAAGTAGCAATGAAACAATTTTATGGTTGGGGTCACAACATGAGAAACTGTATTAAAGTGTTGCAGCATTAGGAAGACTGAAACCACGGCTCCGGGCAAATATGACTATGATTTAATGCTGTGCATGTCTGAGAGGCCAGTTTCTTTCCTCTTTCTAGACACTAGAAAGTCAGATTGCATTAATGCACCAAGTTTTACCTTCAAAATCATATATATATTTCAGAACTTAAGCACAATAGGGAAATGTTTGTGTGGGTGGCCACCTCTTTTGGACCCTCATCAAATTTCCATCTGTCAACAGATATCCCATGCACCCCACCAATGCGTGGGATATGAGTGCCAAGGGGTCTCTGATGAAAATCTCTATGTAGGCTGAGTCCTCCACCCTATAATATTCTCTCCCAGATGAGGGGCTCACTGTTCCATAGGATGTTTGCACATACTCCAAGAGTCGTGTTCTGCTTGTTGTAGCCGGCAAAGTGAAGGATGCTCTCAGTGGCCATGGCCAATCCCGTGTGCTGGGACAGTCCTGACACCCAGTTCTGATGTTTGTTCAGATATTCCTGAAATGGAGAAAACAAGCTACTTCACTCTAAAAGTATAAAGCAGCAGGTCAGACTCCATGCTTCAGAGCTGACTCTGCCCTGATCTGCCAACTGTGGGACCTGACACCAGCGAGTCCAGCCCTTTCCTGACTGAGGGGGAGGCCCTGATCTCTTAGTGGTAGTCACACAGTTGGCAGGCTATGTCATGATCTACATGAAGACCATTCTTGACTAGAAATCTGCTATCTGCCATGTGCCAGCTTCTGGAGAAAAAGCTGCACAGCCTCAGGTCAACTGTGAACATGTAAACCATATGGAGGCCATGTGCAGGTCTCAGTTCTGCTACTGTAGTATTCTAATGACACTGGGATCCCAGGACAAGTATGGGAGCATGTGTACTGGAGAGCAGGAGGGCACTGGGGCAAAGGAATCCATGGCAGAGCAAGAGCAAAAGGGAAAGGTTTTCCACTCTCTGGGACAGCATGGTCTGTCTCATCACCACAGGAGCAGGAACAGAAGAATGCATTAATCCAACAGTGTTAGGATTTCTGTAGCTGGGGGATCCATCTGGACCAGACTGTATGGTGATGGGGACTGAGTAATGGTTAAGTTAAAGACAAAATCACACTTGCTGCTAAGACGGGACCACTGTGGGGGGACACTGAGGGAAGACTTGAGGTGGCTGAGGCTGGGGACAGAGGGCCAGGCAGTGAAACTGGCTAATGAGCACTGCACGAAGTCAGGGACTCAGAAGGGATGGGTTGATGGGGAAAGCAGGACAAAAGGTTACAGTATGCCTGGTAAAAATCTTATGGCCTTTCCAAGCCTTGTTATAGTCTGTTTTCTTCTTCAGACTAAGTTTGCCAGAAACAATGCTAGGGTGGGGAGGAAGCTCTACGACTGATTGCATGTTTGTTTCCTCATCCCTTCAGGACTAAAGGACTCCTGATTTCTTTAGTAGCCACGGCTCTTTTCCTTCACATGATATGAGGGAAACCAGTCTGAAGAATTCCAGGGGGCAAATCTTAAGACTGCATGGTGTCAAATGGTAGCCTTTTATAACCAGCTTGGCTGTCCTACTTTGTGCGTAACTCTACCCTACATTGCGTCCAGATGATCTCTCTTCCAGCATTAATTCTTCCTGTTCAGCCCCTCTGTAGAAGGAGGAACCTCACAGTAATCCTAGGCATAAGCCATGGGTTCTTGCTCAACTCATTATCAAAACTTCCTCCAAGTCTCTCAGAGCCAGCTGTTGTAGCCTTCTTGGGCTTCACCAAAAGGAATATTTTTTTTAAACAGCTTCCCTTGAATCTGGTATGGTGGTGCACACCTTTAATCCCAGTGCTCTGGAAACAGGCAGATCTCTGTGAGTTTGAGACCAGCCTGGTTTACAGAGCAAGTTCCAGGACAGACAGGGCTATCACACAGAAAACTTGTCTCAAAACCCAAACAAATCAACTCCCCCACAAACCAACTAACAAAATTAGCTCTCCTTGAAAAGTCCTACTAAGGGCAATTCATAGGTTTCACTCAACAGTAGTTCAGATTCCTTCTAGTGGTACCGTTTTAAAAATCTTTGATTCCTTCTAAGACAACTTTTTCCCTTCCATAAACTGGTATTTTTGTTCTCTTTGCAAGCCAGCACTTCTGTCTGAAGAAATGCAGATATATGTAGGCATGTAGCCTAGACAAAGCTCCACTGGAATGCAAATCTTTGCTTTCGTCTGCTCACCAGCCCCTATCAAGGCTCTGTACTGAGGTACACATAACCCACCATGCCTGGGTTGTACAGCTGCTGGCTTATGGCACTGTCCCTGCCCCCCCACCCCCAATATGGATCCAACTCACCTTGTAAGCAGCCACAAGTCCTCTCACAACCTTAACACCTTACTTAGTGTTGATATTGTGGCTTCTCCCTTTCCCTGGGTCCTGGGCAACCTGTTCCTGTTCCTGCTCCCAACTCTTCTCCTTCTCCTGCTCTAGTGTTTGCCCCTCAGCACCTGCCTGCCACTCCGAGCCAGCTCTCTCCTGGGCCTGTGTCTTTTCCTTAGGGAACCTTTCTTGTTCCTGGGGCCTCTCTAATCCTTGGGTTCTCTCCACCCCAGGATCTGTCTTTGCTGGGTGACCTTCCCTTGCCATGGGATCTGTCTTCACTGGGTGGTCACTCCTTGCTGTGCTCCTTGTTGATATCCTCGCATTATGCTGACAGCTCAAAGGCTGTCAAAGTTTGCATGGCTACATTGTGCATACGTTAGGTGGCTGCATAAGGACTGTATGCAGAAACCATGTGGAGCTGGGGATACATGGAGCTGGGCCAACGGCAGCTCCATGACTCCAGTTTCAAGGTCCCCAACTTCTGAGCCTCGTTCTAAACTGCTCCTGTTCCCTTTATAAGCAAGTGCCTCCTGCTTGTTCTCTCTTTCCATTTCTGCTCCTGATTGGTTAATACCTACCCCTCCCTTTGGTCCCTTTCTCAATAAACTCCTTGTGGGTTTGCCAGTGACTCATGTTTCATTGCCTGAAGCTGCAGCAAAGAACAACACCTAATGCAGTGGTCAGACCCAAGCCCACTTGTCCTTGACAGCATACTTACCCAAAAGGTGTATCCAACAGTATGGTCCCTGAGCACCAACTATTCTCAGGCTTAGATTTATGTTCCTGGTCTCTGTTTATTCACATTAGTGTTATTTATAGTTTGACTACTGTTTGATATTTGGAGAAAGTACCTGTAGGTGGGACTTGGTGACAGTGGGTGCCCACTTCATGGCTTCTTGCAGGATCATCCCACATCGTGCAGCAAAGTCCTTTACGATGCTCTGGAGGTTGAAAAACCTGAAGTCAGCCTATCTAGGTTGTCATGACTGTCACGGACTGACCTGAGTCCTCTCAAAGTCTTACATTGAAACCCTGATCCTCAGAAACTCAGAATGAGATTGCACTTGGAGACAGCCTTTGAAAGAGGTGATTACATTAAAAGGCCATTGGGGTGAGCTGGAACGAACCAGTGCACCTGGTACATTTATGCACAGAAGAAACGTGGAACTATGATGGACACCACCCTCAGAGGGAGGGTCACATGGGAACACAGGGAGAAGGTGGCCACCTGCACTGCAAGGAGAGTGACCTCAGAACACCCCCCTGTCAACACTTCATTCTTAGACTTTTTATCCCCATAACTGTGAGGAAATAAATCTCTTTCTTTATGCCATATAGTGTATGGTCTGTAGTTTTTGCATAAGGCTGTGTGGCAGAGCCACAACATAAACAGTGTATCCTAGGTCCACTGTGCAACATGTCCCAAGCCAGTGACTAAAGGGAAACACATGTTCTAGGTGAGAAAAAAGTCCTCACAGGTGCCACATCACTGTGTCTGGATTCTCACTATGACATCTTGTCCAGCTGGGGAGGCCCAAGTTATGACACATCCCTGCTCAGGGCTGGAAGAATCCTGAGCCTGGCCCCGATTCAGTCCTCTGCAGCAGGGGCTCCAACTCAGACTCAGTGGGGAAAGGAGCATCTTCTGGGGCATCTTCCTCATCTGGGGCTATTTATTCTACCCATTTGCCAAGGGTAAGGCAAAGGTAGAGCCTGTCATTCTGTTCTACAGTGAAAAGGTTGGCGTGTCTTGGAGGACTGAGCTCTGGAACCCATTCTTGCTCAATGCATTTCTGAGGGGCCGGTAGCTGACTCAAAGCTGGAAATGCCTTTGGCAGCTAATGCAGAAATGAATATTGCAGAGTCTGGATGGCTAAGTGGGAAGCACAGGCCTGGGACACACATAGGCTCGTGAATTCAGGTGCTCTTCCTACAGTGGGACAGTGCCAAAAACCATCATAGTGCTAAATGCTGGGGACTTAGGGACATAAGGTATGTTGAGAACCTGTTTTGACATCCCCAGGGAAGCCCTCATTCTAGAGGACTAAGTAGGACTTACCTCTCGGGCTTCGTATGTGTCAGGGACTGTGATCCGATATGGGGCATCAGGAATGTCATAGTAAGGCTGGTCCTTGTGAATATCCTGGAAACATACAGACACCTAATCCACTAAGGCTGTTTCTGCCAAGAATGTGACACAGGCAACAGTGTGTCTGCTACCCCTGCCCACCATATGCTCCATATGGATTCCAAACTTGCTGCAGCCTAGTAGGGGACATTAGGGAACAATTTTGTACCCACTCCATTGACCACCTGTAGCATAAGTGAGGCTCAAGCGTATTACTGGAGGAGCATAAGGACAACACACAATGGCTAGCCAGCTCATGTGTTAAGCAGAGCCAAGTCAATGGAACACTCACAGCACTTAGTGATAGTGACAGGGTCTGCAGGATGTCCAGCATGGTCTTCAGCACAGTTCCACTCCAGAGCAAATGTGGAAACCTACAGCAAGAAAAGGGTCTCAGGGCTAAGGAGATGAATTTTCTAGGAATGGACACTTTTCACCTCTGTTCCTCCCCTGCACCAGCATGAGCCCTGAGACATGGCACCACCCTAGGCTCTCCACACTGAGGTGTATGGAGCCTCATCAGAAATGTTCTCAGCCCTGAGGCCAAATACAGGCTACACAGGTCCTCCTTCCCAAAGCTGGTCTAGTTTTTGATGGAGGAGCCTCAGCATTTCTCATGATACGGCACCAACAGAAAACAATAATGAAGTAAAGCATTGTCTGGTCCTAAAAGTAACAGGTCATGGGGTTGACAGCCCCAGGATTGGAAGGACACTGCCTGTGTGCACTGCTCATTTTATATGTGGCTCACTGTTGAAGCGGCCTGACTTAGAGGCATGTCATACATGCCTGGCTGGCTCGTAACCCATTCTTAGATTCTGCACCTTCTTGCATGTTGCCTCTGTGACAGGCTCCAGAACCCCTGGACGCTCTTGGGAAGCTGAAGGCAGGCTGTGTGTGTAAATTTGGCATTTACACCTCAGAGGCAACGCCAGCTTACCTTCCAAAGGTCTCACTACACTGTCATGTTCTAACACTGCTTTCCTCTCAGCATGAGCAGTGGGAAATGCTTTTGTTCTGAGAAGGCCACAGGATCCCTATTCTACCTGGGACTTCTAGCTAGATCCTGGATTAGGAGATGGTAAGTTCAGTCTTACCAAATTATTTTAGGTATCACCAATGGCTCAGAATGAGCATGTTTTCTAGATTAAAATGCAGGCTGTAACAAACTCACTGATATCTTGGCGAGGCTGCATCAGCCTTGACTTTGTTATTTTCTGGGCTAAGGATGTACCAATGGTTTCTCTGTGCTCCAAACTGCTAACATTTACATACAAAGCCTTAGAGGGAAATCAGACTCACTTATCCACCAGACCAGACAGGTATTTATCAGCCACCCTCCTTATCCTCTTGTGAATGTGGTTGAAGTTCACCAGCAGAAACTGGGCATGCCGTTCCAGCTCTTCTTCATTCTCCTTGGTCTTAGCCTAGAGTGAGAAGACAGGTACCATAGGGCTTTCCCGTGTGCCTCCAGCAGGCACACGCTGGCCCTCTGGTGAGGCTTACTTTATCTGCCATCATGTTCAGGAAGGCATCAAACACTTTGTCAGCCACAGCAATGACACACTGCATCATCCCTGAAACGAAACAGTGGTTCCAGGGATTAGTAAAGTCACAAAAACTACCAACAGGCGCAAACTCACAGAACTACAAAGTAGTATGCAGTTCTCCTGTACCTTCCTTGGCTTACAGTACTAACATCTGCCATAAGCAGCCTGCACTGTTATCACCTGAACTTCAGCATGTACATGGGTTTTTCTAATTCTCCTGCTCATGTCCCCTTCTGTTCCTGGGGCTAATCCTGGACACCACCCAGAATTTTCTCACATGTCTTGGTCTCTTATAATATGTTGATTCCTCAATCCATTTCTGGACTTCATGACTTTGGTATATTAAGAGCACAGGAAATTCATAGACCCAGGTATAGACGGTCTCTCAATTTGCTATCTGACACCTGTTCATTAGGGTAGGATTTGAGAGACTTACAGGGAATGCTAGAGGTGATAAGCTTTCTTTTCTTTCGTTTTAAAAATTATTTATTTTTTTACTTAATGTGCATCAGTGTTTTGCCTTCCTGTTTGTCTGATCTTGGAGTTACAGACAGTTGTTAGCTGCTGTGTGGGTTCTGGGAATTGCACCTGGGTCCTCTGGAAGAACAGCCAGTGCTCTTAACCACCGAGTTATCTCTCCAGCCAATTTTCTGTTTTTTTTTGAGACATGGTTTGACTGGCTTGCTACTTATTATCTAGCCCAGGCTAGACTTGAACTCACTTACCTCAGACATCTGGGTGCTGGGTTATAGGTGTGTAACCTGGCTGTGTATTTTTCTTATCTCATCCTATCAGGGGACTATGACACCTATAGCTCTTATCATTTCTGAAGTGAACTGTCATCACATGATCTGAGTGATTACTTTTTCCTTTCTATACTTATAAAACTTCCACTCTGAGCTGAGGAACTAAATGATACTCTGGAAGGGGAGAGGAGAGCGAGTTAAACCCACCATCACAGGTAACATCTCCTTGGGGGAGATACATGCAATCATGTAGCTGTCTAATTTCTCTTTGAGATTTTGCTAGTTTTGGCCACTTCAATGGATTATGTTGTGGTAAGTACTGTGGCTGCCCATGGGGATTTTCTACTTTTATTACCTGGAGTTCTTTAAGAAAGAGTTGCCTTCTCTTTACTTATTTTGTATTTATTTAAAAATTAGTATGGACTCATGCCTTAAATTATATACATTTAAATATATATTAAAATAATATATGAAATGCAAATTGAGGGTATATCTGCGGTGGAGCATTGGCTTAGTATATGTGAGACTTGGGGTTTGATCCTCAGCACCACTAAAAAGAGTCAAAATCTGAAATGCCCCCAAATCGGAAACTTAAAAAATTGTTTTTGTAAAAGTGATTTATTTATGTGTGTGTCTCTGTGTCTTTATTGCACATGTATGTACAGGTGCCCACTGAGGCCAGAGGGGCACTGGACTCCTTGGAGTGCTGTTACAGGGATTTGCCTGATGTGGGTGCTGGGATCTGAACTCCAGCCCTTTGATAGAGCAGTAGGTTCTTTTAACAGTTGAGCCATTGCTCTAGGCCCCAAATTGAAAGTCTTTTAAGGGCTGACATGATGTTCAAAGACTTTCAGGTATTAGAGCCAGTCACGGCAAACTCTACTGTAATATTGGTACTCAAGTGGTAAAGATAGGGTCACAAAGAAAACAAAACTCAGCCAGGTGCGGTGGCAGAGAAAGTTGGATCCCTGAGTTTGAGGCCAGCCTGGACTATAGAGCACTTCCAGGACAGCCAGGGATACACAGAAAAACCCTGACTCAAAAACAAAACACAAAAACAGAAACAAACCAATAAACAAAAGAAAAGAAAAAAAAGAAAAGAAAGAATAAAATCCAAACTCAATAATACACATGGTGCGCCTACATACACGCAGGCAAACACTCACAGTGGAAATGGTGTGAGGATTTACATAGTGGTCACAGTGTAGGGGGCAATCTGAGTAATACAGACATGATTTAAAGCATGGCTGCAGATGTGTGTGGCTTCTATGCAAACCCTATGCCTTTTACAAAAGAGACAACAGCACAAAAGCTCCGAAAGGAGTCTCCCTATTTTTGGTTTACATTTTATATTAAACTTCACTGTTTTTAGAGCATCATTATGATTACTACCTTCCATAATGTAAACTCACTTCAATTAAGCAAAATTATGAAAGAGACTATATATATTTACATTCAAATTATGACAACTGGTTCCTTGATTGGCTCAGCCTGCTCTTGTAGTTTAAAGCAGAACTGCCCCTGGCAACAGAAAGATGCTGCAGCTCCATAACTAACTGTCTGAGGAGCTCTGGCTCTCTTTAGTGGAGATAGTATTAGGAACCAATGTCTGGATGTGGGTGCACTTTCCAGCAGATTGAATACTCCTAGTTGAGGTCCTTGCAGCAGTGGCAAAATCAGAAAGATGTATGCTTTAGATTAAACTAAAAATTTCTTTTTGTGGTTCTGGGTATTGAATCTAGGGTCCCCATACACGCCCTCCACCATCAATGAGCTTCAGGAATCCGTTGTCTTGGTCTCACAGCACTGAGATTACAGGGACACACAGACATTTTCAGCTTTTGTACATGAGTGCTGAGAATTTGATCTCAGATCCTCATGGCAAGTACTCTTGCCTACTAAGACATTTCCCAGCCCTCTTTTTGCTTGAGAGTTTCTATGTTATTCAGGTTTGCCTTGAATTTGCAATTCTCCTGCTTCAGTCTCCCAGGGAGCCTGGATAGCTACCTCTGTCCCCTTGACAGCTTCTCAAGTTTCCTGCCTTCCCCCTGAATTTCTTATGTACTGAGAATGACCTTGAATTTGATCCTTCTGCCTCCACAACCAAGTGCTGGGAAACAGTGTACACTACTGTATGAGGTATGTGGCTCTGTACACTGAACACAGGGCTTTATGCCCACTAGGCAAACACTTTATAAACTGAACTACATCCCAGGCCACCCTGGATGGAATATTTAAAAAAAAATAGTATGTGGGGTGGGGCTGGAGAGATGGCTCAGTGGTTAAGATCACTGGCTGCTCTTCCAGAGGATCAGGGTTCAATTCCCAGCACTGACATGGCAGCTCACAACAGTCTGTAACAGTTCCAGGGGATTTGACAATTTCACACAAACATACATGCAGGCAAAGCACCAATGTACAGAAAAGAAAAATAAATAGATAATTAAAAAAAAAAAAAGGCCAGGTGGTAGTGGTGGCACACACCTTTAATCTCAGCCTTTGGGAGGCAGTTCCATGACAGCTAATGTTACACAGAGAAACCCTGTCTTGAAAACCAAAAATAAATAAAAATCTTTCACATTTGTAATTTACTTTGTATGCATGTGTGCACTTGTATTTCATAGTGTAGTGTAAATGGACTGTAGGGTCAGAAGACAATTTATGGAGTCAGTTTTCTCCTCCCACTGTGTAGGTCCCAGGGATCGAACTCATGCTGTCAGTCTTGGCAGCAAGCGCCTTACCTGCTGAGCCAGCCTTTTTTTTTTTTTTTTTTCTCAAGACAGGGTTTCTCTGTGTAGCCCTGGCTGTCTTGGAACTCACTCTGTAGACCATGCTGGCCTTGAACTCACAGTGATCCGCCTGCCTCTGCCTCCTGAGTGCTGGGAGTAAAGGCGTGCGCCACCAACGCCCAGCCTATTTTTTAGTTTTCAAGACAGGGTTTCTCTGTGTAGCCCTGGCTGTCTTGGAACTCACTCTGTAGACCATGCTGGCCTTGAACTCACAGTGATCCGCCTGCCTCTGCCTCCTGAGTGCTGGGATTAAAGGCATGTGCTACCACCCACCCAACCCCCTGCAGTATTTTTTAAGGTTATATATTTTATGAAGATGTTTCCAATGGAGAATGTAACTTTATAAAACTATTTTCTCTATATGACAAGAAAATATGAAACATTCTTTTTTTTTTTCCCTAGTCAATTATCATGAAGTACCATGACAATAAGCTTACCAGATTTGTCCTTCTGAATAGCTTTATCCTCAAAGTAGCAGAACATTACCTGGAAGCGATCAGGGTCTGTGGAACGCAGCACCCTAACAAGAAGAACAGCTTTGAATACACTTTGCAAACCCTAACCCTCCCACTAGAGACCTGGCACTGCTCTGGTTTGGCTTAAATGATGGCATCGCTACTGTTTATAGGAGCGAGCGCTACTCACCTGAACTTTCTACCAGTGACCTATACCATCTAGTACTACATTCCTATCTTTTTCAATCCAGCAATCATACCACTAGTGACACATCTTGAGGTCACATGAACCAAGACCCTTTATAAGTGTAGGCTGCATTACTCCAGACAGAGCTAATCTGAATTCCTCATCGATAGGATGTATATCTATTTAACCACACATCATCACTGCCAAAAGCAGAGGCTACTTCACACACTCACACCATGGCAGAAACATACCCACAATATACTATTAACTGAGAAGGATAACATGCAGTGGAACAGGTCAGCACAGCCCCACCGACAGGTTTCTTAAGGCTGTGTGTGTATATGTGTGCCTGTGCAGAGGACACTGAAGAAGAAGTGAGCAAATGAACATGGGTGTCTCTCCACAGAAGGGATGAGGGAATTGAGACTAAGAAAGTAAGACCTGAATTTTTTTTTTTCTCAAAGACTGGGTCTCACTATGTAGTCCTGGCTTGCCCAGAAATTACTATGTAGACCAGGCTGGCCTTGAACTCACAGAGATCCAACTACTTCTGCCTCCTGAGTGCTGGGATTGAAGTCATGTGCCACTGTGCCCAGCCTGAGACCAGCATTCTTTACTCTTTAACCTTTGGCATGTTTTGTACCATTCTTGGGAGTGTCTTGTTTTCTTTTCCTTTTTAAAGGTTTCATTTACATTCAAATGCATTTGTGCAAGGCCACAAGAAGGCTTTGGACCACTGGAGGCTGGAGCTACAGGAGACTGTAGGCTGCCTCATGTGGGTGCTGGGAACCAAATCCCAGTCCTCCGGAGGGACAGGCAGTGCTCTGAACCTCTGTGACACCTCTCCAGCTCTTTCTTTATTGTTGGGAGACAGGGTCTCTCTCAAATTCACACTAATCCTTCTGCCTTGACTCCACAAGTACTGAGGTTTTATTTTTACTTTTATGGGTGAGGGGGAACACTATCTGGGCCAGCCAGACAGCTCAGTGGGTAAAGGTACCTGCCCCCGCTCACTGACAATCTGAGTTTGCTAGAAGAGGACTGACTCCTGCAAGTTACCTCACAACCTGTGCTCCATGCCTGGCATCCATGTAACCACAGTCATATGCATATACAAAATAAATAAAGTGTAAGAAGACAAAAACAAAATACTTATAACCTTTAGAGAAAAAGAAGGAAAAAGAAATAAATCCACACATTTGAAGCATAGCGACCCTGATCAGGTCCTAGAAGCTGCAGAAAGAAAGCAGGGGTCCAACAGTCTGCATTTAACAATCTGCCCCCACACCAGCCTTCCAAGAGGCACCTAAGTCTTTGTAAAGCAAAGCCAGGATGTTGAAGTAAACACATTTGTGCAGGCTCAGGTGCTTTCAACTTCTCATATTGCAGTTTCAAAGTTTCCTTAATAATTAGCAGCTGGGAATCAAAGCCTCTTTCTTGAATCAGAGTTTTGGGGTTGTTCCTCCATGCTTGCATAGGGTTCTTGTGGGGTGGTCTACAGGGAGCATAACTTGGGGATACTCCTAAGCGCCACACTTGAGGGGCAGGAGACAGCTCTTCTGGTTATGAGCACTAGCATTGAATCTGTGTTTATCATACTCTGTTTTCCTCTTAGTTTCTTTCTTTCTTTTCTAATGATGGGATGAAACCTTGCACACGTGAGACAAGAACTCTACTACTGAGCTACATCCTTAGCTCTCTGGCTTGCTTTACAGAGGAAAAAAGGGAGGAGCTACAATAACACTATAGGAGACCGTAATGGTCATTTTCTTACAATAAGCATCCTGCTTTTAGATTTGTCTGTGTGTGGAGGTGAGAAGGTAATTTGTTTTCTCTTCCTACCTTGTGTGGTCCAGCGACTGAACTTGTGGTAGCAAATTCCTTTTACCCACTCAGCCATCTCACCAGCCTTGTTTGTTTTTTTACTTTTATTTATTATTTATTTATTTGTGAGATAGGGCTCTCTGTTATATAGCTCCAGCTGTCCCGGAACTAGCTCTGTAGACCAGGCTGTCCTGGAACTCACAGAGATCCGCCTGCCTCTACCTCCTGAGTGCTGGGATGAAAGGCATGTGCCCCTCCCAGCAGTTGTTTGCTTTTTAAAAGCTTGTAGGTCTTGAGAGGAGCTGAAAAAGTCCCATGTCTATCAAGACACAATCATTAACATGTTTCAATGTGTGGAAAGTGAAGGCTCATGTACCTCATGTATTCCAGCCGATACACAGACAAGAGATAGGTAGACATGGCAAAGTCCAGCTTGTTGATGAGGGCTGAGACCTCAGGAGGAGGGTCTAGCAGGTTGATGATGGTGCTTCGCAGCTCACTCAGTTCAGCCTGGAGAGAAGGCAACATGCAAAGGCTCATGAGGTCCAAGACACCTTCCCAGAAGGAGCCCAGTGAGGGAAGGGAAGACAGGGGCTCGAGAGGGTGAGGGCACCTTCTCAGAAGGAGCCCAGGCTTAGTAAGGATTCGGAAAGGGTCTGCTCTAATTTCTTTCTGGACAGTTAATGAGAGAGAGGAGAGTCCTTACAGGCGTGACCGTGTCATTTTTCATGGCTGAGTTGTACTGGAGGACTGACCGAAGGGGCTCCTTGCTGGGAAAGGTGAGCAGAGGTGACTTGGTGGCTATTTCGCAGACTCCCTCATACCATTCTTCTGGCCAGAGTCCTGTAAGAGAGGGTGTGAGTGAGATAAGGGCTGGTACAAACCAGCAGACCACCTGACTAACATGCAGGAGAGAAGACAGGGAGGGGGAAGAGAGTGAGAATATACGAGACTACTGAGTATCTAGTTAAAGAAGTCTTACATCAGTATTGACTCTGGCAATTTCTAGAGTCCTGGATCCCTAACACAATTATTCCCACAATGAGACCCAGAAACAAGTCTGCTACACAACTTTCTACAGTCATGTTTCTAGGTTCCTGTGGGAACAAGCAGCTACATTTGGGCTCAGAGCAGATGTGCTCAGACTCTGGGGTGGATGAGTCCAACTGTAGCTGTTTCTACTGCACACTCAGCCTTTCCCTACCTGAGCCTTCCACAGCGAATCCCATCAATACAGAGTAGAGCCAGAAGTCCCGGAAAAGCTTCTGTAGCCTAGGTTTAGCTTCTTTGATGGGTGGCAACCGTCGGGTGAGCTGATGTGGGAGGAGGGGGGAAAGGCTGTTGGTTAGTAAAACTATACAAAGTATAAAACCACACACACATTCTCCAAGAGCCCCATCCCCGACTTAGCCAGTCAGAATGGATACAAATAGGTGCACTGAGCAGTGGCTGATAAGTCTCAAGTATTCTACCAATTAGCAGGTTCATTTTCTCACTGGTATATGGAATGCTGACTGTGAGCCAGGCACTCTGTCTAACCGGGAGGAAAACAACTCCAGTGGGATAGAGTTCCTGGAAGTGTCATCATGGGTCTCACATAAAGTTTGGCAGAGAACAGAGAGGAAACACCAGTTGCTATAAGAAGCCTCAGGCCCCAGGGCTGGGACTGGGAGGGCCCTCAGAGAAGGTAACACAATTGGAGTGGCAGACTGAGCAGTCTTATGGACAGAACACAAGAAGTAGCTTTCAAACCCTTGTTAGCACATGAGTGTTCAAACAGTAATCTTGGGCAGAACCTCGACATGCAGTAAAAGCAGACTAGTTTGAGTGCAGTATGAGAAGTCAAATTCCCTGAACCCTGCTTGAGAGAGCAGCCTGCCTGCTCGAAGGCACACAGCTGCATGACAGGCATAAAACTGCTTCACTCTGTACAAAGCACTCCACTGAGCACACTGGGCCTCACAGCTCCCATACAGTGATGACAACCACTCCTATGTACCTGTAGCGTGGGGTTTGCCGCCCAAACACTAGGTCCTGAACCAGGAATACAGAGTAGGGAGAGACGATATCAAATGTCAGGACACTTTCATACGCATCTGGTAGGAGTGTAAACTGGTACAGCAGTCATTGGGAAGGGTATGGCAGTGTGCATCAAAAAGCTAAATATCAAGAAGAGTGTGATGAAGCACACGCCTATAATCCCAGCACATAGGAGGTAGAAGCGGAGGATCAGGAATTCAAAGTCATCCTTGGCTACACCGTGAGTTTAAAAGCCAGCATGAGCTACATGAGATCTGTCTTGAAAAAAAAAAAAACATATTTTCTATGATCATCTGTTAGTATAGGTAGAATTCACAATGTCAAGTAAAATATGCAAAACATACAGATGCAGATTTCAGTATACGTTTTATATTTTCAATATCCATATATTTCAAATACATTGCAGTGTAAATGCATAAGCACAGAACAAAGATGGAAAAAAAATTCCCCATGTGCCTGATAACAATTACTTTTGAATACCTGAGTACTCAAGGGTTTCAGTTCTCCCCTTTGAGACTGTACTTCCTGGAGCTCCGTAGGAAGCATCTCTCCATAAGCACAGGGAGGACACAGGTGCCTGTCTGGAGCTCAGCAGCCCATGTGGCAGAGGGTCTACCAGGGCACTTGGCCTGGGGACAGTTGGTTTGGGGCAGACTTTGGAGGTAGTAAGGAGATGGGGAGTGCAATAATAGATGGAGGAACCACAGGGCAGGAAGCCCAAGGTTGCACACAACATGAGCCACCAAGAACAAATGACAAAGTGCTTCCAGTTTGGCCAGTGGCCAAGGATGGCAAGCCAAAGTAACTATGTGACTGACTATGGTGATAGGTATGCCTAAGATGAGGTTATAAGAGGGAGGTGGAGGCCCAAATGGGGTCCCAGATAGCAGATTTCAAGGTGAATGTTGCTAAGAGGGTCTGGTAGCAGGTGGGTTTGAGGCCAGCCTGGTCTACACAGTGAGTTCTGGACCAGCCAGGATATAGTAAGTCCTTGTCTTAAAACAAACAAACAAACAAGCAAGCAAACAAAAACCTTCATGTGGCAGAGAAGCCCAACACAGTTTTGATTGGCAAGACAAAGTAGTTAAACTTCCTGTGATTTGGGTTCCTACTCTTCACCCTGGGACCTCCATGGCTCCCTCCTAAGGACTGGGCTTGAGAGTAAGCCATGGGCTATCCCTATTCTCTCACTTCTCCTGGTCCATTGGTTATTATCTCAGCTAAGACTCCTCTAGTGCCTAGGAAGGGAACATGGGGGTCACTTTAGGGAAGAAAGCAGCAGTTCTTTGACATATCCTAAGATAATGACAAGGCATCATGGCAGGGCTTCAAGAAAGATGTGGAGGAGGGGGGCTTGGGAGACTCTAGAGACGGTCCCTTAACACAGGACAGGCAGGGGCTACTAGATAGAAGACCTGCTTATGCTTAAAAAGAAATCAAAATCCTAGGACAAGTGGGAGAGACAGACGAAGGAGTCTAGAGTCATGACAGACAAATGCAAAAATGGTTGGACCACTCATCCCTGTTTCCCATCTCCATGGGAGTGCTGAGATTAATGTGTGACCCAATTCCAGAGACTGAAACTGGTCCTCAGGCTTGAGAAGATACTGCTACTCACTGAGAAACCCCCTCTTCCCTTCACTAAACAAAAGCTTTAGGGGAGGGAGAGATGGTTCTGCAGTTAAGAGCATTGGTTGCTCTTCTAATGGAGCTGGATTTGATTTCCAGCACCCACATGGCAGCTAGCACAAGTCAGTAATTGCAGCAACAGAATAAATCGGATGCCCTCTTCTGGTCTCCATGGGCACTGCATGCATGTGGTACACAGGCAAAACACACAGATGAAAAAAAAAATTTTTTTTTTTTTTAAATAAAGAAAAGCAGTCGGGTGGTGGTGGTTCACACCTTTAACCCCAGCACTTAGGAGGCTGAGGCAGGTGGATCTCTGTAAGTTTGAGGCCAGCCTGGTCTACAGAGTGAGTGCCAGGACAGCCAGAGCTACACACAGAAAAACCCTGTCTTGAAAAAAAAAAACATAACAAAACAAACAAACAAAAACAAAAAGAAGAGAAAAGCTTTAAAAGCTTTAAGGGTCATTTGAAAAGATTTATTTATGTCTGTGTGTATGGACCTGCATTAGTGTATGCACCATGTAAATACAGGTGCCTGTGGGGGTCAGAGTATCAGATCCCTAAAACCACCCTGCTCCCAGAACATTGAACAGTGCCTCAGACATCTTAGCTTCAGCAAGCATGTCTAACAAGACTGCAGACATGCTGACAGTAACATCCAAAACCCCAGCAACAGAGGAACTGTAGTTTGGAAGAGCCTGTCACCAAGCAGGGATCAAAGACACAGTTGAAAGGTTTTCTGCTGACAAAGCTAGTGAGTGGTGTTTGAATAGGGACATATTTGCTTTGGAAAATACACAACAGCCCAGCACCAAAGTTCACACTGAAACCCTGTTGGTGGCCCTTTCTGATTTCATCTCTGTAAAGACACTGCTCAGAGGCACACAGGTAAGTTTGGTTTCTAACATTTTTTTGTCAATTATAATTTTTTGTTTTTAATGTTTTGAGGTAGGCGATTGGTTCCTTTATTGGAGTACAAATTGAGAAAAAGAAAATATTATTACTTTTAAAGTTCAGAATAAAATTCTACCAGTTGTACTCGTGGCACAACTGACAAAACTGGAATTGGAATTATAAGAGACAAGAATATTAAATCTTTGATACTTTAAACTGGAGATTGGTGGCATAAGGCTGAAATCCAGAATTTAAGGGATTAGGCCAGAGGATGGGCTTGCAGTCCCTGCGTACATATCACCCTAGGGCCAAAAATCATTTTCTTTCCAAATTCATAATTGTCTAATGATTAAGTATGAGAATAACCTTGTTCTTAGGAAGTTTTCCCCAAGTATAACTATTGAAGGTTAGAGGAATGTAAGAAGTCTAACTTCAAAAGGCTCAGAAAACATTTGTATAGGTTGATACATATACATGTACACAACACACACACACCACACATACACCCCATATACCACACACCTCCATACACAGACTGCCCCCCCATGACAGCAGCTGCTCCACTAGTCTATTCTTTCAATTTTTCTGTAAGTTTGAAGTTATTTCAATATAAAAAGGTTCTCCAGCACTGGGGAGGCAGAGGCAGGTGGATCTGTGTGAGTTCAAGGCCAGCCTGGTCTATAGAGCGAGTTCTAGGACAGAGAAACCCAGTCTTGAAAAAAGTTTCCATAATTACTGACAACTACTTTTTTCCCTTCCTGTTTGTTCTGGTCTGGATCTGGAGACATCAAGGCAAGAGAGGGTGTTCTCTGTGACGCATGACCAAAAATGTCAACTCTACTCATGCAACTCATAAGAATATGATATATGATGTTCCCATGAAAACACAAAGTTTTGATGGTGTATCTTAAAATTATAGTACTTCAATTAAGACAGCAACTTGAATGTATATACAACTCAGGGATGTTTTTAAAAGCCTTAATGTAAATGACTACAAAAACAGAAAGATTTACCTGTTGGAGCTCTAGTTTTTCAATGCAAACAAAACAAAACAAAACAAAACAAAACAAAAACACCTTTACATCTCCTTTCTCTAGTAAGAGAATCATGAAAATTATGGCTTATGGTTTTGAACATACAATGCAGAAACAGAGTAGATGATGCTCTAACCCCCTAAACCAAGTCGTACTGGCTTCCAAGCATACTCTCTTAGTTCCAGGAGAGGATGAAGATCTTTACTTTGTGGCTCAGACTCATCTCCTAAGCCTGCATGGATTCAAGCTGCCTTCTGTTTTGTTCTTTAACACTGTAATTACTAACTACTGTGTTAGCTGAGGATACTTTCCAGTGTGGTCATAAAAAAGACTTCCACTAAGTTGCTTCTGTTCTTTTCATAAAGGTTTGTTTTATTTTTATTTGTGTATATGCATTTGTCTGCTCAAGTGTGTGCCACATGCAGATGCCCAGAAGGGTGTCAAAATTCTTTGGAGCCAGAGTTAGAGATGGGTGTGAGCCACCTGACTTGTAATGTCAATGATAATTGTGCTTGATTCTATTTTAAAACTAGCCCAGTTGGGCTGGAGAGAAGGCTCAGAGGTTAAGAGCACCGGCTGCTCTTTCAGAGGTCCTGAGTTCAATTTCCAGCAACCACATGGTGGCTCACAACCATCCGTTATGAGATCTGGTGCCCTCTTCTGATGTGCAGATATACATGGAAGCAGAATGTTGTATACATAATAAATAAATAAAATCTTAAAAAAAGAATGTCCTGATGGATTTAAAAAAAAAAAACTAGGCCAGTTCTATTTGAAGCTACATACATTAGACACCATTTCTAGAAATTGTTCCACATATGCAGACTATGTAGCCACCAATCTCAGCAAAGTGCTGAGGAGGGTCAGAAAAGACAACAGACATATTCAAAATCAGAAACCATTGACTCTTTCTCCAAAAAAAGCAATTCAGAAGTCTCTCAGTTAGCTGTAGATGTAATTCATTTGGTAGAATGCCAGATGATCACTGACGATCCATGTTTCATCCCCAATAGTGTGCAGATTAGTTATGCAGAGGGGAGGGGGCGCACAGGCCTGTAGCTAAGGTGGTGGAGGCAAAGGACCAGAAATTTATGGTCACCCTCGGCTAAACAGGGCTTTTGGCTAGCCTGAGATACACAATGCCTTTTAAAAAGTTCCTCAGTTATGACTAAAAATGCTGGAAATGCTAATTTTAACCATATTCTAGAGGATAGGTTCTAAGGACAAAGACTAGCAACAGTTGTTCCCAAGTGTGGGTAGTTTTGAGTGTGCTGTCGCTCAAAGACAAGCAAGGCAGAACACTTGACATCAGGGAGCTGGGGGCTTAACCAGCTCAAGTCTAGTCATTCAAATCTAGTCATTACCTACCATCCATCAATCCCTACATTTTGGTGCTAGGGACTGAGCCCTGATCCCATGCTGGGTGGGTGAGAGTAATTAATATTTACCTACATTCCTAACTCAAACCACTGCCATCTCTTAGTAGCAGCAAAGGAAGGCTACATCTCATGATAGGTTAAACTGGCAGGAGTATTCAAAGTAGGGCATCCACACAGCTAGTTCCTAACTGTAAAGGCCTAACAAATCCAAATGCTTAGACAGGAGCCAGTAACTCTTATTTGATCTAGACTGGCAACAGCCAGGTGGTGGTGGCACACACCTTTAATCCCAGCACTTAGGAGGCAGAGGCAGGTGGCTCTCTGTGAGATTGAGGCCAGCCTGGTCTATAAAGCAAGTTCCAGAACAGGCTCCAAAGCTACATAGAGAAACCCTGATTCTAAAAACAAAACAAAACAAAAACAACAACAAAAAATAGAATGGCAACAGATGCTCTAAACCAGGAAATGGTCACAGGCACAAAACAGACTCTTCCTAGGAAGATACACCTAACTGGTGAAACGGAAGAAGCAACAAAAGAGAGGTCATCTACCTAGTTAATAATTGAGATATGGAAAAACCAAGTCAAAGCCACTGGGAAGAAAGATAGGATTTGACAAGGATACGCAGCTAAGTACAAGAAGAGGGTCTGTATAAGAGATCTCGCTTGTCTACAGACCTTTATAAAGGGTGAGCTCTGATATCACCCTCCCATAGATCCTGTCTGCATTGAGAAATTGGGAGCAGGAAGTAGAAAGATTTCTTTCTCCTAGAAGCAAAATTCTTCTGGCAGCAAGTCATATAACCCAATAACCTTTGAGAGTGCCAGGAGACATAGGCTCCCAGCCATATTACTTCAGTAGGTCCTAAGGGAGTCTTGCTAGGTTCCAAATCTTAAACAAATTAGCCCCAAATGACTACATAGAGTACAGCCATCCAAGATATGTTTTTAGAAGGCTGGCTCATAATCATGCATAATGCCCCCCTCCTCCGTCCCCACTGAGCAGTAGTTTGGGCTTACAGGTAGGGCTAAGTCTATCTATTGGAAATTCCCCTCCTGTCTCGGGTACTCACTGAAGCTCATCTCTTATGAAACCTCTTTAGCTTTCTGGGCACCCTACTCTTACTCTAAGAGGTACAGCCATACCCCATGAGTCCTTCAGTAAGAAGACCTTAATGTCTCTAGTGTCAGCTATGTTTTCTGGAAACAGTCGAGAGTGTTCAGTGAATAAATGAAAAAGAAACTCTAGGAATCTCCTAAGTTCCCTCTTTTTAACTGCATTAAAAAAAGGGGCTCTCAGGTCTGCAGGCAAAGGTGCTTGTTGTGCAAGCATGGCTACCAGAGTTTGATCTCCAGAACTCACATGAAGGTGGAAGGAGAGAACTGTCTCCATCCAATCATCCGACTGTAGCATGCATGTCTACATGTGTGTGCCCACCCCACATAATAAAAAAACTTGGCTGATGAGATGGTCCAGCAGGTAAAGGTGCCTGCTGCCACCGCTGATGACTTGAGTTTAATCCCTGGGACCTACATGGTCGGAGTGACTGCTACAAGTTGTCCCATGACCTACTCACATGTAACATGGCAAACCTGTCCACCCATACAAATGAATGAATAAAAAAGAATCTTTTAAAAAAACTAAAGAAGAATTTTTTTTTTCATTTAGGGAGGTATTTTTCAACCTGTGGGTTATGACTCCCTTGGGGTTACATATTAGATATCCTGTATATCAGATATTTATGATCCATAGCAGTAGCAAAATTATAGTTATGAAGTATCAATGAAATAATGTTATGGTGGGGGTCACCACAACCTGAGGAACTGTATTAAAGGTCACAGCATTAGGAAGGTTGAGAATCACTGGTCTGGAGGTTCCTATATCCCAGGAGGTGTATGAAATACACAAAACACTAACACTAGTTGTATGTTTATTTCTTACCAGATTCTCTTAAAGTTTAGCGATCTAAGCTGGTGTAAGAACTGGTGCTGTGACAGGCCTCTTTCTGTGTTAAACCACGGAGAGCCCAGCAAGATGGAGCCAGGCTGCCTCTTATTGTTGTCTGTTTTCTACACCAGCTTTAGCTCTGCAAAAATGAAGCATCCATTGCACCCTCTACTTCTTTCTGTCATCTTGTCTGTATGTGTTGGGAGCAATGGCCTTGCTGAGCAGGTGGCTAACGAAAATGTGAGCGTGTCCTTTCTGCCTGCCAACTTCCACAAAGAAAACACAGTCACCAACGACTGGATTCCGGAGGGGGAGGAGGAGGACGACTATCTGGACCTGGAGAAGTTGTTCAGTGAAGATGATGACTATATTTACATCATTGATGCAGTTTCCCCGACAGATGCAGAATCAAGTGCTGGGAACATCCTGCAGCTTTTCCAAGGCAAGAGCCGGATCCAGCGTCTTAATATCATCAATGCAAAGTTCGCCTTCAACCTTTACCGAGTCCTGAAGGACAAGGCTACCACTTCTGAGAACATCTTCATAGCACCTGTTGGCATTTCTACTGCCATGGGGATGCTTTCCTTAGGCTTGAGTGGAGAAACCCATGAGGAAGTACACTCAGTTCTACACTTTAAAGACTTTGTCAATGCTAGCAGCAAGTATGAGATTACCACCATTCATAATCTCTTTCGAAAGCTGACCCATCGCCTGTTCAGGAGGAACTTTGGGTACACGCTCCAGTCAGCTAATGGCCTTTACATTCAGAAGCAGCTTCCCGTCCGGGAGGACTTCAAAGCTGACATGAGAGAGTTTTACTTTGCTGAGGCCCAGGTGGCTGACTTCTCAGATCCCGCCTTCATACTGAAGGCGAACAACCACATTTTGAAGCTCACCAAGGGCCTCATAAAAGCAGCTCTGGAGAATATAGACCCTGCTACTCAGATGATGATTCTGAACTGCATCTACTTCAAAGGTAAGACACACTTCCATAATTCCCAAAGGAGACTCACAAAACAGCCATCTGCTATACAAAAGACAACGCTAAGAACTGTAGTGTAGGCCGGGCATTGGTGGTGCATGCCTTTAATCCCACTTGGGAAACAGGTGCAAAGGCAGATAGATGGATCTCTGTGAGTTTGAGGCCAGCCTAGTCTACAGAGTGAGTTCCAGGACAGCCAGGGCTGTTGTGTAGAGAAACCCTGTCTTGAAAAACCGAAAGCCAACCCGCCTCCTCCCCAAAAGATAGATGCCCCAAGGGTAAAGGCTGCAGGGGCAGTGTTCAAGGCAGATCTCAGTAAGCTATCTCTAATGATTTGTTAATTAGAAGAAATAATATAAGCTCCCTCTTTTTAGTATTTGGCCAGCATGGATTAAGATTTCGTTTCCCTTCCAAATTATCAGTGAGTAGAAATACGGACAAAAGGCTAAAGAAATATGTCTGGAAACTGTTTAGCTACAGAACTGTTAACTTCTTCTCAGGGTACTTGCTATTTTTTGAGACAGGGTCCCTCTATGTAGCCTTGGCTAGTCTGGAGCTTGCTATGTAGACCAGGCTAGCCTGCTAGGATCAAAGGCACATGCCACCATAACTAGCTTTATTAGGGGACTTTTGTATTGATGGGTGGGTGGGAAATACACAATTAATTCTGTTCCTCTTTTAGTTTTTTTCTTTGTTGTTGTTTTTCCTTTGAGACAGCCAGTGCTCTCCTCCTCCTTCTCCTTTTTTTTTTTTTTTTCGAGACAGGGTTTCTCTGTGGCTTTGGAGGCTGTCCTGGAATAGCTTTTGTAGACTAGGCTGGTCTTGAACTCACAGAGATCCTCCTGCCTCTGCCTCCAAAGTGCTGGGATTAAAGGTGTGCGCCACCACCACCTGGCCCAGTGCTCTCCTTCTATAATGTGGTCTCTGTGATGGAACCCAAGTTGGCAGGCCTGGCAGCATTTTTACCTGCTGAGCCATCTTTCTGGTCCTAAATATTTATTTCTTTAAAAAGTCTTACAGGCTAAGCATGAAAGCACTTTTAAAGAAAGTACTATCTCCCACTAACATACATACACATGCACATACATGTGTGTATCTATACCATAAGACCCAACTCAAATGTTATTTTTTAAAAAAGGTCTTGCTATGTAGCCAGGCTGACCTAAAACTAAGACCCCGCTGCCTTGCCTCCTACAAATCTGGGGCTACAGACAAAATACAAACCTCTTTTGGAATCTGATCAAAATAAATTTGTACCTCACTTAAGCCAAGGACAGTCATAGGGGAGGCTTAGCACCAGAGCTAATGGCAGCACTGTAGCCACATTTGTTTGTTGTCACTGAGTTCAGGATCCTGGTGAAGGCGAAGGTGCTGGGAAGCCTACACTTCCTATTTGCTCACCCCAGTGGTTGTACTGCTTGGGTATTTGAAGGGCAGAAGCTGGTTTCTGCACATCGGGTCGGGCCACAGCTCTGCTAACCTGTCTATGTGCTACACAGAACTCCCAGTTCTGCAAAATAAGCATCCTGCCAGACTGGGCTGCTAAGCAGCACTGCAGAGGTAAAGACTTCAGGGGGCTTGGGAGTCTGAGATTTGGCCCCAGGCTTCCTTCCAGAGCCAGGCACAGCAATCAAGTTTTAGCTAAATCTCTAATGAGCCTATGACCATAGACAGACAAACATATAGTACATATTTATGATGAAAATACATTTTTCTTTTTCATTACTGGTTCTAAGTACAAGTTTTGGAACTGAGCAAACAAGAGTCTATGTTCTGTTTTCACCCTTCTCATTTGTGTGACCCTGGGACACTCATTTGACATCTCATCATGGAAGAGTTAGATCTACTCTGACAGGGTGCAGAGAACTGAAGAGACAGTGATGCAGCCCTGTAAACAGTAAGAGCATGATGAACTTGAAGGAGTGTATATAATATAGTTCAATTCAACAAGACGTAGTGTGATATTGCGGGTAACATTTATTCTCATAAACAATCAGGCTATGCTTGGTAATGGCTTCAGAACAGGCTGGTGGGCCATCCCCAAAGCCCTCAGTGTTCAGTTTGCTGGTTGCCCGCAGCCTCTACATTAATTAGTCATATTGAAATTCTGAACCAAAAGGCTACTGTGTCAGCACTGGAACAGAACAGACTAGATGTGATCATAATATCTCAAGTGCTATATCCACCTTACACTGAGGTGCCTTTCCCGACTGCGCTAGAACACTGACTTGACTCATTGCTGGGAATCATAGGGTACATCTTTTTGTTTGTTTGTTTTGAGACAGAGTTTCACTATGTAGCTCTGGCTGTCTAGAACTCACTATGTAGACCAGGCTGGCCTTAAACTCACAGAGATCTGCCTGCCTCTGCCTCTGGAGTGCTGGGACTAAAGGTGTGCTCCACCACACCTGACTGAGAGGGATGCACAATTTTAGTTTCTAATCCCCAAATCTCTGTTACTAATTTACCTCTGTGTTATAGCTGCTTTGTGGGAGTTGCTTCACATCACTGCTGGAAGACCAGGGATTTCCAATGGGTCTTAAGTGCCTCTGTAGGCACTAGTAACTGTTACAACGTAAGCTGCTATCATGCTGGGAGGGCCTAAGAATGCTGTTAAAATCTCACAGAGCAGATCCCACACTATAGCGAATTATTTGGTTTAGAAACCCTGGGTGTGGCTGACTTAGAGGTAGCAGCTGAGCAGCAACCATAAGCAGGCCAGAACTGTCTGGTGTTTAAAAGTCCCTCAAAGATCCCTGTTTTTCTCATCTCAGCTGCTCTATATACCAGATGGAAACAGTGAACAAGTCACCTTACTTCATGTGTCTCTGTTACCTTATCTAAAAAGTATGGATGAAAATTAAAATCATCTATTATGGGAGCTGAGAATGAGATAACACAAGAAAGGCGCTAATGCCTGGCATGTGGCCTGTTGGCAACCAGTTACTAACATTAATGATGAGTGTCTTAGAGTTAAGATTTACTCCTGAATAATCTATACCCAGTTGACATGGTAGATCGTGAGGATACTGCTGTATCAGATATGTGTTCTGTCAAATGCTAGAGAACCATAGTGTGAGGTCTCAAAGGGTTACTCACTTTACAAATAGTTAAATGAGAGGCCCAGGCAAATTATGTATCTGTCAGGGACAAATAAGTAGTGTCAGAATCTAACCCCTAATGTCTTGTGGTTTTTTAAATTTCTTTTGTTAAGACTGGGGATTAGTCCTAGAGAGCCCTCCTCGGGAAAATGTTCAAGAGCAAAGGCAATATTCTAAAGGGACATCCTACCAACTATTTGCTCCTTTTGACTTTATAGGAACCTGGGTGAACAAATTCCCAGTAGAAATGACACACAGCCACAACTTCCGGCTCAATGAGCGAGAAGTAATTAAAGTCTCCATGATGCAGACTAAGGGGAATTTCCTCGCAGCAAGTGACCAGGAGCTGGACTGTGACATTCTCCAGTTGGAGTATGTAGGGGGCATCAGCATGCTGATTGTGATCCCACGCAAGCTCTCGGGAATGAAGACTCTTGAAGCACAGCTCACGCCCCAGGTAGTAGAGAGATGGCAAAAAAGCATGACAAACAGGTAATTCAAGTCATTTGTCCTTTTGCTTTCTTGGGCTGGGGTATCTAACAGTACTGCAGCCATGGCTAATTTCTGCCCCTTCCCTCCCCCTCCTCCCCTTCCTTCTGAGTCAGGGTCTCACTCTGTAGCCCAGATTGACCTGGAACTCATTATGTAGTGCAGATGGGCCTCAAACGTGCAGTGACCCTCCTCCCTCATCAGCCAGGATGACAAGTGTGAGCCATCCTACTAAGTTTCACCAGTTTTTGTAAAGGGGGAAAGTATGTAAAAGAACCCAAGAATTGCCACATAGGCCGTGCTTACTTATTTCAGCCTGAGTTTCCTGTTCAGTGGGAGCACTGATGAGAAAGCCACCTCCTTCACAAAGCTGTTTCAGAAGGCAGGGACAGATGGCTTCAGGTCGTCTTAGGAATAACGTCCATCCATCTATCTACTAAACCACACTCTGTTCAATCGACCCCCAGGTGAGACTAATCACTTTACTTATCAGGACTCAAGGTGAGAGATAAATACAATAGGTAGGTTGACTGCTCCCAACCCCAGCTCCCTTCCCAGTGCCTAGAACAAGAAGCTCCCAGCAAAGACAGCTCTCTCCTTCCTGCCAGGAAATCCCGAGTTCTTTTTTACTCATTGAAAACTTGTCACTAATTATTTTCCTTGATTATTATTTATTATTTATAGTTGAAACAGTTGATGTTAAACATTTGCTGAAGTTATTATTGGATCTCAGCAGAAAGAATAGAGAAATGGGATATATTTCTGTGTTACTAGGTAATTACTGTTAGGCTCATAATGAGAGGTGATACCTATTGGACAAAAATACAAAAAAAAAATGCAACAAACTGAAAATATTGCTGGGCATAGTATCGTACTGTGTAATCCCAGCACTGGAGAAGCTGAGGCAGGGAATCACAAGTACAAGGTCAGTCTAGGAACAATAAGACCTGCTTCAAAACACAAAAACACAGGCCAGCGAGATGGATGAGCAGGCTAATGTGCTCACTGCCAAGCCTAACTACCTGAGTTCAATCCCTGGGACCCATGTGGTAGAAGGAGAGTCCTCCTTTATCTTATCTCTATACACATACTACATACCCTGGGCAATATGCATGCATGCATGAAATATGTAAATAAGCATACTAAAAATTAAAGCAAGCCTGGAGGTGGTGGTAGTGGCGCACACCTTTACTTCCAGCATTCAGGAGGCAGAGGATCTCTGAGTTTGAGGCCAACCTGGTCTACTGATCAAGTTCCAGGACAGGCTCCAAAGCTACTCAGAGAAACTGTGTCTTGAAAAACAAACAAAATAAAAGCAAAATAAAAACCATAAAATATAAAACCTTAGAAGTAGATTTTTAGAGTAAGGTGGATTTCCCAGGTAGGTGAGTCACTGAGGCCAAGCCACCCTGAGTTCTGCCCCTAGTCCAGCATAGCACCCTCATCCCTCACTTCTTCCTCCCTGTCTATTCTCAACAAGAGGGGCCTGGCCAGCTTCTAGCAGGTCCTGAGTTTGCCCTCCCTGGTCAACTCTGTTTAACATCTTTCCTTTATCCCTCACTTGGCCCTTTCCTTCATGCTCCACTCAGATCCAAGGCCTTCATGTTCCTTGTATATAAAATAGTACAACATATATCCTATGCACATTTCCCCCATAGACTGTAAGTCATATACCTTACTTAGTATACCTAACACAATATGAATACTTGTAAATAGCTGTTCTACTATATAGAATGATGAGAATGGAAATTCTGTACATGTACAGATACAGTTTTTCTGGTAACTGGAATCTGTGGCTCGTGAAACTCATTAGTATAAGGGCTAACTGTGACTGGACCTACAGTGGGTGGCTTTTCCAAAACTCTCAACTGACAGTACCAACATAAAAATTTTAAATGCCAAGAAATGCTATGCCAATTCTGTGGTAAAGGCAATCCCTGCAGGCCATGTAAAATTAGCAGGGAAAATGTAATTATTCTGTCATTTGTAGCCATAAAATTGACTCCCTCCTTCTCCAACTAGAACTCGAGAGGTACTTCTGCCCAAGTTTAAGCTTGAGAAGAACTACAACCTGGTGGAGGTGCTTAAGTCTATGGGAATCACAAAGGTGTTCGACAAGAATGGCAACATGTCAGGCATCTCAGACCAAAGGATCACTGTTGATCTGGTAAGGGCTCCCTCCCGTTAGTCCCCGGATCCTGCCTTGCAATGTTGCCGGCTCTTTCCCTAGCCTCCTGGTGGGCGTGTGATCCAAATTTGAAGGACACAGGGTCCGCGTGGTGATTTTGGCTTTCAAGGTCTCTCAGACTCCAGCCATGGTCAGTAGGGACTGTAGTGTAGTGTTTAAAGGTAAGTACATGTGCTGTGGCAGAGACTGTAGCCACAATGACCAGGCACTCAAAGACCATGTGGGGTCATTGTGATAGAAGTGACTTTGTCTTGTGTGAGGCCACTTGGGCTTTTCTCTGACGGTGAGTCTTAACCGGGTGCTCCACCTCTGGTGACAACCTCCACAGCTGACAACTCTCCTTTCTGCTTTTAAACAGTTCAAGCACCAAAGCACCATCACGGTGGATGAAGAGGGCACGCAAGCCGCAGCTGTAACCACCGTGGGATTCATGCCACTGTCTACCCAAGTCAGGTTCGCTGTTGACCGTCCTTTCCTGTTTCTAGTGTATGAGCACCGAACCAGCTGCCTGCTTTTCATGGGGAGAGTGGCCAACCCCACCAGGTCTTAACAGTGCCACGTGGTCTGGGCACCTGGTGTAGTTTGGGACACTCTGTAATTCTGTTCTAAGTCTAACAAAGAGGACAAAGATATTTTGATATGATAACTTATGTGGTTTGTGATAATATCTGCATTTAAGGCCCATATAGGAGAAGAAAGTTATCAAGGACTAAGAAGCTGACACAGTAAACAATGCCACAAGACCACAGAAGTTAATGTAGCAAGTTCAGTGCCAGCTATTCCCCAGAGGTCCTAGCAACATACAGACTGCCTCAGCCCCACTCCTGTGCCCCTAAGAGCAAACCGCCAGAGTGTATGTGATGCTTTCTCTGCACGCAGCCCCATCAGCTTTACTTCTCAAGGCTTTTTCTCAACCAGCCCCCATCTAAATGGTAGTCAGGAGGCTTCACCCCTTCTAGGGAGGATGGCCAACAGCACCATTCCTGCCCAGTGGAAGAGAAACCTCAACAAGCCCAACCTTCTAAATTCATGCGACCATCTCCTCCCCTACTGCCTCAGGGTTACCTAGGTGTGTACACAAGGCTACACAGATCCTATCCTAGAGATAAATAAACAACTATATTTACTGTGTATCTGTTATAATTCTCTTTAAAAAAAAAAGACTGACCTTTTTCACTATATAGCTTTGGCTGGACTGGAACTAGCTAAGTATACCAATCTGGCCTTAAACTCATAGCATCTGCCTACTTTTGCCTCCTGAGTGCCGGGATCACTAAAGGCATATGTTGCAATATCTAGCATAATCTATTTTTTTTTTTTTTGCAGCTCAAATAACAAAGGGCAAGCTGAAAAACACCCTTAAGAAAGACAAAGGGCCAGGCACTGGTGGCACACGCCTTTAATCCCAGCACTCAGAAGGCAGTGGCAGGCAGATCTCTGTAAGTTTGAGGCCAGTCTGGTCTACAGGGTGAGTTCCAGGACAATGTCCAAAGCAATACAGAGAAACCCTGTCTCGAAAAACCAATAAAAAAAAAAAAAAAAAAAAGACAAAGGTTGAAGAAAGTCACACAAGTGTTACTCAAGTGTTGCACAGTGACTAATAAATTATAGAAGGCAAGTCCTAGGATATCGGTGAGGCCTGTGGCCGAGTCCTAGGTACCAGTCTGATGGAATTCCTGAGTCCTGGGTACCAGTCTGATGGACTACCTGAGACAGGTGCTCTAGTGCCATGAGCTGGAAACTCAGTCTTCAGTGAGGTGAACACTTCAACTTTCATCTCTCAAGACGTGGCCCTGTAGTAGATCTGGTCTGATATTTGGATGGTTTGGGGTCATCCACAACACTCCAAAGGCTGCTCAGAAGGCATGGATAAAGAAGTGCTTTTAGTGGGGAGACTGGCAGCTGTAATAGGAGCAGCAGCCAGCTCTGTGCATATGGGCTAAATAACTGTAATCCCCACACCTTAGAGGAAGAAATTTTATTTCCCTGTAATGCAAGAGCTGGAAGGGGTCTAAAACATGCACAAAATACAGCTACAAAGTGAGGCTGGGGACAAGGCCAGGCTTGCTTGATTGGAAAGTCTTGTAGGGAGTCTTAGTCACAGAAGACTGACCACATGAAGCAATAACAGTAATGGGAACAGCTAAGAGGAGCATGCTACTTCTAGTGCAAAACACATATGCAGATGCTACTATATGCCCGATGCTGCTGGCTTTGGAGTACATACTCTCATCACCTTCTCTTGACAGCTGAGAAAGCAACTTACAGAAGGGGAGTAATCTGATGAGACCTAGGTCTAACCCCAGGTAGGTAGGCTCCAGGGCCTGTACTCCTTGCTAACTATCTTATATCTACACCAGCACTCTACTGAGAAAAGGCAGTACAGGACTGAGGCAAAATCTCCCCACTCTATCTTTTCAGCTTCTTCCAATTTGCAATTTGTTTTAACACTGTTTTTTGCTGGTGTTTGCTCTATATATTTTATCTTGTTGGTAATTATTCTTGTCCTTTACATCTGTCAATGTAGTTATCTTAAAATTGTGTCCTACAAAGTTGGATGGATATATCCCTGTATTCCCAGTTATTCTGGAGGCTGAGGTTAGGAGGACTGGTTGAGCCTAAAAGTTAGAGCCTGGACTGTAAGGTGAAATCCTGTCTCAAAACAAATACCTCCTTTATCCTAGATCTTTAGCCCTTTGTCATGTGTCCTTTTGCAGTCCCAACCTCAGCCACAGCCAGCCTAGGCTGCTCCAGGCTCCTGCACAGGGCAGGACCCTCTTGTCTCCATGCTCCTAACTTACCTAGAATCCCTGTGATCTCCTCTTAAAGAGACTAGCCTACCATTTCTCAAAGCAGTAGAGGATCAACTCAAGTCAGCACAGGCTCTGGGCCAAGCTTCCTGGACTCAAATCCAATGCCTAGTAGCTATGAGATGTTGAGCAGGTTTTATATCTCACTATGCATATTTATAAAGTGGAAATAAAAGCAGCAGTCACAGGGCTGTTGTGAGGCGGCAATGCCTGGACAAGGTCTAGAGCACAGGTAACATTTCTTGTTCTGGTCTAAGAAAGCACCTTACCTGGCGCTCCTAACTTAGTGTTTTCATGAGACATATTGTGAACCAAGAAGTATTTCTTTGGAAAAGAAGTATAAAACTTGCAAGTGTCTATGACCTAGAAAAGGATATACCCTGTCCAAGTCCACAAAAACTACTCAGGTGAGGACGAACCTGATCTCAGTGGGGCACCACTGCCTTCTAACCGAGTAGACGGGGGTCTAAGTGTTACACAGCCTTCAAAATGCTTACATGTGGACTATAGCAGCGAAAGAAATGAAGAAATAAGTCTGCAAAGTTAGGGAAGATAAAGATCACCTAACTAAGCAGGAAGGAGTCCCTCAACCACGTGACTGAGCTCCAAAGCAACTCGAGCGCTCCAGTTCAGGAGGTCACTGGGTGTTGACCAATGCATTAAGGCAAGAGCCAAGCTTTTTGCTCCAAATCCACAGCCCTTTTGAATCATTAAAAGTCCAAAAAAGACTATCTCTTTCTCTTTGAAAAACAACAACAACAACAGTACAAATCACACACACACACACACACACACACACACACACACACACACACAAAATCAATTTCTCTCAGAAGGTACAAGAGGTCACTAAAAAGCAAATGCAAAAACCCACGATCCTCTGGCTCTCTGTTGAGCAATTAGATCAAATATTTGTTTCCTCCCCCATAAAATAACCATTAACTTTTGTTAAAAATACACCTGGGAAGCCCACACCTATCCTTGGGTGTGTATAATTGCCTTTAAGTATGTGCCTGGCTGCCTGGCTGTGTTCCCGGGTCTCCTCTTTCAATACCATGCTTAAATCTGCATTAAAATCTTTTTCTTAATTCCAGTTAAAAATGATAACATTCAGCAGGGAGGTGGTGCACACCTTTAATTCCAGCACTCAGGAGGTAGAGGCAGGAGGTGTGAGTTCGAGGACAGCCTGGTCTACAAAGTAAGTTCCAGGACAGCCAGGGCTACACAGAGAAACCATGTCTGAAATTACAAAAACCAACCAACCAACCAACCAAGAAAGATAATACTTATTCTAGTCACACAACTTTCAAAGGCTGGGGGACTAGAATGCTTGTCCTGAGAAGTCCTTCATTATAGTAATGCCTGAGAGGCTCAGACACTCAGAACCCCACAAATGCAAACACTACAAGTTCAACCTTGGCTTTTATGACCCTGAAACGTGGGTGCTCCCATGAAACTTCACTTGTCATTGCTACCCTCGAAGAGCAAAATGTCCCTGGAAGATTTCTTGAATGAACTTTTTACACTCTAAATGAGCATTAATAGACATACTTGAAAGTTCACTAGGGGAAGGTGACAAATGAGAACAATTGAGGATTGAGTTGGGCCAGGTATGGTAGCACACACTTTTAATGCCACTCAGGAGACAGGGAGACAGGCAGGTGGAGTTGCATGAGTTTGAGACCATAATCAAACTGTTACACAATCAAAGTATGCAGTGAGATCCTCTCTACCTTGCTCAGACTGACTGTTAGGCTGGAGAGATGCTCAGCAGTTAAGAGCACTGGCTGTTTTTCCAGAGGTTCTGGGTTCAATTCCCAGCAACCACATGGAAGCTCACAACTGGTCCAATTACAGGGGATCTGGCACTTTCACAGGCATACTTGCAGGCAAAATACAAATGCATATAAAATAAAAATAAATTTTTAAAAATTGTTCCTGGGCAGTGGTGGCACACACCTTTAATCCCAGCACTCGGGAAGCAGAGGCAGGTGGATCTCTGAGTTGGAGGCCAACCTGGTTTCAATACAGCCAGGGACTCACAAAGAAACCCTGCCTTGAAAAACAAAACCAACGACAACTAACCCCACCTCCTCTGCTTTTGCTGAGGGTGGAGGAGGGCAAGATCCCAGGGATATCAGTCATAGAGTATTCAAAGAGCTCAGAGCTCTGGATGACGCTGTCAGTCTTTCCTATCTAGCCATGCTTTTCAATGGGCCCTGTGGACTATGCCGAGGAAGTACCTACTGGGCTTCATGCTCCTCACCGTTGCTCTAGGCCAAACAGAGGCTAACTGTGAGAGGACTTACGGAGACACAGCTCAACTTCTGCTGCTAGCAGTCTAACCCAGAGCCTTGCATGTACTAGCTAAGCTCTATCATTGAGCTGAACCTTCAAGCCACTAAGACGCTTCAAAACACAGTTGTATATTGGATGATATTAATGGAGAAGTAGAAGAACTTGTCTTTTTTTTAAAAAAAAAAATCAATAGGGGAAATGCCTTTATAGAAAGGATTTTGCAACCCTGAAAATCTGGTTGTTTTTGTTGTAAATGTGTATGGGTGTTTTGCCTACATATATCTTTATACCATGTGTGTGCCTAGTGCCATGGAAGTCAGAAGAGGGTGTCAGATCTTCTGGAACTGGAGTTGCAGATGGTTGTGAGGTCCATGTAGGAGTCAAACCCAGGTCCTTTGTAAGAGCAACAGTGCTCTTACCCACCTGTACTCAGGAGACAGGGCATGTGGATCTCTGTGAGTTGTCCTGGAACTCATTCTGTAGACCAGGCTGGCCTACAACTCACAGAGATCCACTTGCCTCTGTCCCTTGCCGCCGCCTCCCCTTGAGTGTAAGGATTAAAGGCGTGCACCATTCTGCTGGTTGAATTACTGAGATTTTAGAAAACATTTAATAAGGAATTTGCTCAACATGAGTAGCTGGGCCTGAAGTCATCTGACAGGTAAATACTCACCACAGCAATCACAGGAATGAGCACTCCCAGGTTTCCTGCACTGCTGGAAGCCTAGAAAAAAATATATATATCACTGACAAAAAATTTCTTTTACAAACAAACAAAAAACCCAACAGTATTGTACAGACAAGAGACAGGACCATAAAGCCACCCATCTGGTGCAATACTTGGTCCTAGCACCTTTTACATGCTAAGCACTTAAACTATAAACCCTAGTCCCCAGGCCGCATAACTCAACTGCTGTGCCCGTGGTGCTGTGGACTCACCCTGGAGCCCTGCACATGCTGCACAAGTGCTCCACCATCAGACTACGTGCTTAGCCCTAGAATAATTACAATGGGGGTGGCAGAGACAACTTAAATGCCAAACACAAACCATTAATTTATGATTGCATAAGAGGTGACAATTCTACATAATTATGAGATAGTCATTAAGAAACAACTTTTTGAAAAAATTTAGTCACCTTGGGAGAGTGCTGACAGAAATGTTTGAAAACAAATCAGGAGTTTAAGAGTATCCTTTGATTCAATTATAGTTCTATAATATATACATGCAGAGAAAATATGCCAAAATATTATCAGTGATTTCATCTAAGTAGAGGATTATGGCTTCTTACTTTATAAGTTTCTGTATCTTTTCTATAAGTTAGGAAATCCCAGAAAATTTGATAATTAAATGGTTAAGTTCTCTAGATAGGCCCCAAAACATGGGTAAACTACAACAAACACTTGTGGGAAGCTGAGGAAGCCCTGAGCAAATGTGTATTCTTGATTCAGATGGGGTAAGGCTCTTAGGGATGGCAAAGCCTCTCCTCTGGTCCCAATGCAAATGATGACAGTGTGACAACAGTTGACTTTCAACAGCAGCTTCCTCCTCCTGAATGACTGCAGCCTGAGATGGCCCCCTACCAAGCCCTGCCCCTTGTGCTATACACAATAAATGAACAGAGGTTCCGTGTTCTTGAGTAGGTGTGCTCCATTACAGTAAGCACAGCCCACAGGATCTCAGCATTTCTGCATCCAAGTTTCTTTCTTTATTCCCTCATTGCTCCAGTCAGGTTTCCCTGACTTGGCAGACGATGATGGCAAACCTTTAGAAGAACGCACTTAGAACACTGAACTATGCTCTGTATTTATAACAGTGACAACAGATATGGGTGCTGAGGACCCACGGTGACCAGGAACTGTTCTGAGTGCTCTCCTTGCATTAACTTTGGCGAGATTCACCAAGGATCAGAGTGGTTTGGCAAGGCCAAGTGGTCACTTGGGGAGAAGCAGACAGAATCCCATTCTGGTTTTCCTGGGCTGTAGCAGATGAACAGTGGTCCTCTTGACTCTGAACTGGAGAACCCAAAGCCTCAGGGCTCCTGCACAATGACGTGGAACCCTCTCTATAGGTCTTAGTTTATCTTTATCTTTCTTTCTTTCTTTTTTTTCTTTTTTTTTTTTTTTTTGAGAAAGGGTCTCACTGTGTAGCCCTGGCTGGTCTGGAACTTGCTATGAAGACTAGGCTAGTCTTGAACTCAAGAGAGATCCACTCTACCTCCTGAGGACTGGGATTAAAGGTGTGTGCCATCACATCTGGCATTTATGAGTAGTTATGAGCCAGCATCTTCCTCTTGCTTCTACAGGCTCTCCTTACCCAAGAAGGTCCCATTTCAGCAAATACTTAGCAAATAGTAACTACTCTACAGAGAACAGCGTTCCCACGTTTGTACTTAGGAGAAAATGGCATCCTGGTGTTGCTCTTCTGGCCTGTGAATAAGCATTAATTTTCAGGATTCTTGAGACTCTGTAAGTGTGACAAGAGGAAGCAAATAGGAATGGCCACAGGTCCCAGTGGGTCAGCAGGCACTGGGCCCACTTCCTGTGGGAGAGAAGGTTCCTGAGATATGACCACACTTCCTCACTGTGTTTATGCCTCCCTGTGTCACCAGCCCTTCTCTCCATCAACCTGATACTTAGTCTCTCCTGAGAACCGAGAAAGTCACCATCCTGGGAATCTTGATAAATTGGTCAGAAGAACAAGGTTGAATTATGGACAAGGTCTTTGTTTATTTTTATTTTGTATGCATTGGTGTTTTACCTGCATGTGTGTTTGTGTGAGGGTGTCAGGTCCCCTGTGCCATCTCTCCAGCCCCTACGGGTATCAGCTACTCCTTGACCAACACTTTCATAGGAAGAGTTCCATGGAGATGCCCACTCAGTATTAACCCCACAAGGCATTCCTGACCAGCCTAGTCTAAAGTACTCCTTGCTGGACTGCCCTGTTCTATACTCCCACAAAGCTTCTCAAGTAGAGGGTGCTATCTTATTTACTTGACCCCTCACCTGGAACAACAGCCCTGCAGCCCACGGGCCAAATACAAACATTACCTGTCTCTTGCACCTGCCTACAGCTGCTGTCGGCTACCACAGCAGAGTGGAGGGAGCTGTTGCAACAGAAACTACCTTGAGCCTACAAAGCCTGCAATATTGATGGCCTTGTTCTTTATAGTAAGTGGACTGACCCTGACCGGTGACAGTACCTGGCACATAGTGGATGAATAGTAACTGGGAAGTAAAGGGAAAGAAGAGGGAACAGTGTGAGAGTGTGGAAATGGAAATGTGGGGAAGGCTTGTTGTTAATGGGAGGTGATGTGGTAAGAGGTCTCCACTGTCTTAAACACTCCCAAACAATCAACTTGAGCATTTAAAAGGTAGCATTTTGTGTGTCCATGTGGACCTGCCTTTCTAGGACAGGCTGAGAGCACATAAAAGACAGCATGCCTTATGTTCCAAAGGCAGCATGTAAGTTCTTCCTCAGCATAGGCTCAGGTCCGGGACACCCTCAACACCTGCTTCCTGATGAGTGACACAGGGAGAGAGCTGCCTAGGAAGAAGCAGCCCATGCTGCTGCTGTCCTCAGATGCAGTCTGGTGAGGAAACACGCTCCTCCCTAACCCACTAGCATCCCCAGGGAGAACCCACTTTTTCTTGTTTTCTCCAGATGTTCTTAAACCAACTAACAGGTGGCAAGGTGTAACTCAGGGTGGAACACGTACTTAGAATATGTGAAATCTTGGGTTTGAGCCCCACAACCAAAACCAGAATAATTTTAAAAATTAAATAATTTAACACAGAAAGCATCATATTTCAACCAAGACAGTGTCTCAAAACCCAGCAACCTCTTTCCTCCTACCTTCAGGGCGGGGCCCTTCTCACTGGCCCTCTCGCTGGCTCTTTTCCCCTCCAGGCCTAGCTGCACAAACAGTTCCAGCAGGTTCATCAACAGCTCATCTACAAGGTGCTCTTCCTGAATGTTGGCTGCAATGTTGGCCAGGGCATTGATCACAGCTAGGGAACAGTGCCTAAAGAAAAGGAACATAGTCAAACCATTGGCCAACCCTCAGCTATGCTGGGCCACGTGCTGGAGGGAGAGCTACTGGCTCTAAGTGGGCCCAGTCTACCTCACCATGCACAAGGAACTTCCAAAAGGTTCTGAACATGCCATCTTCATGACAAACAGACCCTGAAAGTGAATGACTGGATAAATGACTGTGGACCTTGGCCAAGGATCTGGTCCAAGGAGCTGGATACCAGGGACCCTGACTTTCCTCTGAATGTTAAAAGTCTACTGAGTATCCCAATGTAGAATAACTCAGTTCTAGGCTTCTCTGCTTGAGTTCTGAGAACCTAAACATCATTTCACCTGATGACCAGCTTCTTGCCAATGCTCCCCACAGCCCTGGGGATGATGTTACTATTAGCAGACAGTGAACACAAAGGAGTCCGAGGACTACCTGCCCCTGGATTGTGGACACCCTACCAAAACCCCAGGTGTGAAACTGATGTTGCTCCTTAGCCAGATGCCATGGGCCAGGCCTCTGCAGCTCTGCAATCAGCAGCTGATACTCCCATGGTATGTTACTAACTGGGGCATGTAAGCTTTTGAGCTGTGGTTTCTTCCTGTGTGTATAGTAATTCCCTCTTCATAAGCAGGAGGAGCTAAGCACTGAACACAGTCTGGTCCCTAGTAAATGCTAGTCATGACAAAAGACACTCCTTTCCCTGTTAGTAAAGCCTGGTAGGTCAAGGGAAAACAAAAGCTATCAAATATTCCTATTAGTGAGAAGACAGATTTTGGAGGTGTGTAGGGGCTGGAACCCAGGGTCTTGTGCATGCCAGGCAAGTGCTGTAACAGTGAGCTACATCCTTAGACTGACAAATCATTTTGACAGCAATAAGAGGCTGCATGGGAAAAGAGGCCATTTTGACTAGAAACTGAAGAGATTGCCGCATGATTTTAGCAGGGACTGCACAGAGTGAAGAAGAGACGACCAGCACAAGGGCCAGAAAGAGGCCAGTGGGAGTAAGGATGGAGAGCAGGAGGGGCCAGGGACAAGGAGCCCAGAAGATCCGCTCACATGAAGGGAACGACATGGGAAAGAGGTGTCAGTTCCTCTGCAGAGACCAAGATAGACAGAAAAAGGTGCAGGCCAGTTTGGCTGGGACCCAAATTGAGTCCCCAGACTGTTTATAGACTGGACACATGTGGAGGCAGTGAGAAAACACTGAGGTACAACTGTTCTTCACTACCCATGGAAAACTGGCTGCAAAACTCCCAAGGATATAAACAATCCTTTCACTTAAATGGTGTGGCAGCTGGGTGTAATAGCAAAGAGCATCCACTTGTAACCTCAGTGCTTAGATGGTAGAGGCAGGAGCATCATAAGTTTGAGGCCAGTCTGAGCTACCACAGCAAGAATGTATCTTAATAAAACAACAACAACAAAAAAACTAGCATAGTATTTGCATATAACTATGCATACATTCTTGCATATACTAAATCATTTCAAAATTACTGATAGTACTTAATATAATGTAAGTATCACAAAAAGTGTTTTTGTTTTTTAAAGATAGAATTTCACTATGCAGCACAAGGCAATTTGGAACTTGCTATGTGGCTCAGGTGAGCCTCTGACTCTCAGTTCTCTTGCCTCAACCTCCTAAGTGGTAGTATTACAGTGTGTATCACCTCCCAGGCTTGAGGATATTTTATCGTTTGGAGAATATTGGTGAGGAAATCTGAATATGGACAGGATAGACCCCCGTTGGTGGAGACAACTGTGTAACAATGCCAAGCGCTCACACAGGTCAAGAATTTTCACATATATATCCTCCCACCGAAGTACTAACCAGACTCACGCCTGCTTCACTTCTGGGATCAAATGAGATAGGCAGGGTGGACTCCAGGTGGTCTGGTGGCCAACAAATCCCATGCACATTTCTGCTCTCTCATACAACTGCAGCTGTGCTCTTTGGCCAGTGAAGAAACTGAAGCACAGGCAAGTTGAGCATTACTGGGGCTAGGAAGCTGTACTGCTGCCCACTAAACTGACATGAAGAGGGTCTTCGAGGAAAAGCAGAGTTGCCTGATGACCAGGAAGAGTAATGCCATCACAGGGGCCTCTCCACCAAGCTCACATCTTTGTCTGACTTTTCCTCCTGCCTTCTATCTCTTCTGATCTGACAAACTCTTGTGCAATCCTTTAAACATGAAGAGACATGGCTCTTCCTCAAGGCATTCTAGGTAAAGTCAAGAAGACTTCTCAGTCTGCCGAGGAAAACTGACCAGACTTTGTACAAACACAGAATGCTCAAAGATATAAACACCTACCCCCTCTGGCCCTCCAAATTCCAACTGCCTCCCTACCCCCACCCATGCCTTTTTTCCCCCCCCTTTGGTGCTAAAGTGTGTGGTGGTGGCACATGCATTAAATCCCAACACTTGGGAGGCAGATGCATTATGGGCCTGTGTAGCAGAGCAGATGGTCATAGGTGTAGTTCAACAATGAACTGTTGCCATGTGCAGGTTTTCATGTATTATCTTAGATGTACACTAATTTATAGCATACAGTACTTCTGTAAGAAGGCTAACACCCACAGGCAAATCCCCAAACATCCCTCAAACAGAGTTAAACACTGTCAAGATCTAAAGCAATGAGGTACAGAATACCTGTAGCCATGGTCTTTGTAGTCTTTGGTGGCTGAATACACAACTGAACTGGCCTTCACACTGATTTGCTGGAAGAGATTCCACACTTCCTGATAAATGTATTGCTGGAAGAGAACAAGAGATACTGTCACCATTCCATGATTCCTGAGGTCACTCATAGACATGGGAAAGCTCTGGAATCTGATAACAATAAGACCATGCAGGGCATACTTTTGTATGCAAATGTTTGTTTAAGTGCCAAAGCATTTCTATGGTGATGAGAGGAAAACTTGTGGGAGTTGGTTTTCTCCTTCCACCCCTCAGGTTCCAGGGACTGAACTCAAGTCAACAGGCTGTCAGCAAGTCTTTTTACCCACTAAGCTGTCTTTGCCAGCCATGTTTATTTTATTGGTTGACTGATTCATACACAGGGTCTTACTACAAAGCCCTTGCTGACCTAGAATTTAGAGCAAGGTGGCTTTGGATTCACAGAAATCCTCCTGCCTCTGGGTTCCCAAGTGCTGTGATTAAAGGTGTATACACCATGCCTGGCCTAGATATTTTATTGTTTTAAGATTCTATTTTTAAATTATATATATATATATATATATGTGGGTGTCTGCACGGGAGTATGTGTATATGTTGAAGGTACCCTCAGAGGCCAGAAGTGAGCACCAGACCTCCTGGAGCTGCAGTTTTGGGAGGTTCTGAGTCACCTGACTAGGAGCTTAGGACTGAACTCAGGGCTTCTAAAAGAGTAGCATGCATTAACCACCAAACAATCTTTCCAACCCTCTAGTTTTTTGTTTTTATTATGTATACAGTGTTCTGCCTGGAGCATGTATTCCTGCAGGTCAGAGACAGCACCAGATCTCATTACAGATGGTTGTGAGCCACCATGTGGTTCCTAGGAATCGAACTCAGGACCTTTGGAAGAGCAGTGAGTGCTCTTAACCTCAGAGGCATCTCTCCAGTGTCCCCCCCCACCCCATTTTTTTTTCTTGAGACAAGGTCTTATATATAGCAAAAATTAGGTTTGAAGTCCTAATCCTCTACTTCCCAAGTCCTGGGACTATAAGCATTTGTCATGGTGCTTGCCTAAGGGGATCCATTTCTAGAGCTCTAAGAAAACCTAAATCAAAAGTGAAAGAGAAGCAGCTTTTATTTAGATGCAATTTTATGCTAGCTAGGTTGATAAGAAATGACTTTAAACGTCTTTCCTGAGATCCAAGCAACCACTTATTACATTATTCTCACCATATAGTGTTGAAGCCATTCTGAGAATTTAGCTCAGTTTCAAAGTACAGTAACAGTGCGATTTTATACTCTTATAATCAAAGGTTTCCAGCTCTGTCCTTACTGCAGGGCTCTTCCTTACATTTCCAGTGATAACCAGGCAGCCCAGCTGGTCAATGATGAGCACATCAAGGGGTGAGGGAGGCTGGCAGAATTTCTGCTGCAGGATCTGCAGAATTGGCTCCATGACCTTTGGGGTGTCCCTCAGAGCCACTGCAATGTGTCCCAAGGCACGGATGGTATGGTCAGGAATCAAGTGAGCATCCCTATGAGAGTCAAGAAGAGAGGTGTCTGAGAAAAGCTCTGGGAGCCAGGTGGTGGTGGCACTTGCCTTTAATCTCAGCAATTGGAAGGCAGAGGCAGGAGGATCTCTGAGTTTCTGGCCAGCCTGGTCTACAGAGCGAGTTCCAGGACAACCAGGGCTCCACAGAGAAACCCTGAAAACGAACAAACAAATGAACAAACAAACAGAAAATTCTCCAAAAGTAAAAAAGGCTCTGAGACATGCAGTGTGAAATAAAATCAAGAGACTAGAGCGAAGCCTTGGACTTCCCCATGCCCATGAAGAAGCACTCTTCTGAAGGGACTGCTGTGGGCTCTCAGACATTCACAAACAGAGACCCAGGCTCCAACTGTAGCACTGTGGTCCAGAATGTACATTTGTGGGTGGGATTGACCTTGCCCCTTCAGCAGACCCAATGCATGCCTACACTGTGAGCAGGGAGGAGGCACACACACACACAGTGGCAAGCACTGTGACTGAGCCTGCAAAGCACAGCTGTGCTTCCAAACAATAGACACATACTTGTCACTCTCTTGGGAGATGTAGAGCCGGTTGGAGAGGCTAGCCAGGAAGGCCTCCACTATCACTGGGTCCACGGTCAGGCCAGCCTTCAGGCACCTGTGCAACAAACAAGTCCAAGTGAGATCAAGTGTTAAGACAACGGAATGGTTTTGTTTGCTTTTCGCTTGGTTTGCTCTTTGCTGAGGTGAACAACATTTTACACAGCAGCTCTGAAGCTTCTAATCCAGAAATCTGAATGAAAAGCCATTCCACTGGATGAATTTAAGGAATAGTGGACTTCACCTGCTCACTTGGTAGTGAAACTTCTGGAAACAATAACTTAAATCACTTTGCCTGTTGTGAAGGAACAGCTTCCTTCAGAATAATGTACCCATGCTAATTCTAGTTTTACACTTCCTTTACCATTCATAGCAACTGTTTCCAGATATCTGACCACCTCTCCATTAACTCCAGTCCTTCACAAAGGCAAAGCATGAGTCCTCCCACTAAGCTGCACTCCTGCTCCCTACCAAGGTCTTTTATTAAGGAGAGATTCTTCTGCTGTAGAGAAAATGGGAACCTTTAAAAGCCCCCCAGAATGTAAAGTCTTGTTTCTTTACGTCTTGCTCGCAGGTGTGTCTTGCTCACCTCATCTGTTTGGTTCTTCAGGTATACTGAGAATGGGGAACTAGAATTCAAATGGAGGCACAATTCCTAACTCATACAAATTAGAAGACATCTGATTGTCAGCTGGGGAGAGCAAGAGCATGCAGCAAGTCTCCACAGCAAAGAACACTTAATCTCATTGAAAACAACAGCAAAAACTGTTGCAGGAAATGTGATGGCACTGTGAAGATGTATCTCTGCTAAGGCACCTTCTGAATGGTTTAATAATGAGCTGAATGGCCAAAAGCTAGGCAGGAAGGGACAGATGGGACTTGGGGAGAGAGAGGAACTTGGAGGAAGAATCTGAGAGGCAGGGGATTTGCCAGCCAGACACAACGGAAATGGGATATATTGCACTGAGGAGAGGTAATGAGCCATGTGGTAGAATGTAGATTATTACAAATTTTCTCTAATAAGCATTTATATTTTTCTGACCAAGAAAAGGAAGGCAGCTTTATTTAAAAAACAAACAACTCTTTTTATAAATATATAACAAATAGAAACAAGCTTTAAATGAAAAGGATAACCTCATTCCTTTTGCAACAAGTTTTTGCCTCCTCAACCCCCATCCCCATTCCCCCACCCCCCTCAGGCTTCCTTCAGCTAAAGCCCCTACCTGCAGATGTTGTCAATGGCGATGTCCCGGAGCTGCTCGTACATGGATGGTTGGTTCTTCTTACCCGGCAAGACATTCAGAGTTGACTCGGAATGCTCATTGGTGACACTGATTTTTATATCATTGCCAGCAACTAAAAGTAAAAATTCAAATTTGTGTCTGATTCAGTTTCATTTTCATCCCCTTCTTTGTCTCAAACTAAGATTACAAGATGGTCAACTTCAGCCCGTGCAAACAAGCACTCAACAACCAAACCACATCTTACCCACTGGCTTTTTTTTTTTTTTTTTTTTTTTTCTGAGACAGTATCTTACCAGGTCGCCCTGGCCTGCTTGGAGCTCACTATGTAGACCATGCTTGCCTCCTTAAAGGCATGCACCACCACACCTGACTAACTGACCAGACCAAACATTTTAGAATCAAGACTCTGAGACTGACAGGAAGGGTGAAGGAGCATGTTTAAATAAAAAGGACAGGTGGCTTATAAAGTGTTAAATTTATAAAGTAAGCTCGGCAATTTCTTAATGAACCATTTGTAAAAAATGACAAAGCCAGGCATGGTGGCACATACTTTTAATCCCAGAACTCCAGAGACAGAGGCAGGCAAATCTCTGTAAATTCAAGGTCAGCCTGGTCTACAGAGCGAGTACCATGACAGCCAGGACTACACAGAGAAACCCTTTCTCAAACAACAACAACAACAAATAAAGAAATGACAAATATTTACATGGATGCAGCTATGCAGCTTTGATGTTTAGTGAGGCACAGTCCTGCCCTGGGAGGTATAGAGTAGGGGTGTGTGTGTGTGTGTGTGTGTGTGTGTGTGTGTGTATAGAGTAGGGGTGTGTGTGTGTGTGTGTGTGTGTGTGTGTGTGTGTGTGTGTGTGTGTGTGTGTGTGTGGGTGTG